CACACATACCGACAAGCAAACTGGTACACAAGGACATTTTTCACAGGATGACTTAGACTGAGGCATATTTAAACAGGTGTGGGTAGTTTTGTGGAGGTTTGGGCTTGGAGACAGAGGAGGAATATTTAACAGGTAGTTAGTTTACTGTCTTCATGGAGGAATTCTTCACCATGTTGGGTACACACACGCTACATTAGGCTGGAAACACTGTGACAGGTAGTACAAAATTTGTGAATGTAGTAAAGTACACTGAACAAAATTATAAACACAACACTTTTGTTTTTGCCCCCATTCATCATGAGGCTGAACTCAAAGATCTAAGACTTTCTCTATGTACACAAAAGGCCTATTTCTCTCAAATATTGTTCACAAATCTGTCAAAGTCTGTGTTTGTGAGCACTTCTCCTTTGCCGAGATAATCCATCCACCTCACAGGTGTTTCATATCAAGATGCTGATCAGACAGCATGGGGATTGCATAGGTGTGCCTTAGGCTGGCCACAATAAAAGGCCGGATATGTGAGTGGATCGTTTTATTCTTCTGCCAGTGGCTGCACCTGCAAGTGTTTATGAGGTATGGAAACACTGAATATGCATCCCCCGTTTACTAAATAGGCTGAAATATTGGCCCTTTCCATCACAGCCAATTTTACATAACTGCCTGTTTATATTGTATTGTTTTCCAAACTTGTTTAATATTGGGATTCTTGAAGAAGTGTAAAATACATCTTTCAGATTGCTTGTTGTGTCTCACCAACAGTTCAAAACTCAAATATAGTCAATTTGCCATCAAAGAAGACAAAGAAATCCAGCAAATGTTCACTGAGATGCTGGAACCAATGAATGTTTGTATTTCGTGCTTACAAAAAGAATGAAATGACAAATTTATTGTTAAAATTGCCAGAGATTAATATTGCGACTGATGAATCAATTTTTTCAGCACTAAACATACATTTTCTTTTTTCCCCATTTTGGGACAATTTTCTGGGAGGAGTAAGATATTAGTGTGTGCAGGAGTTAAGATACAAGCAGTCAGATGGGACAGATGGGTGGTAATAGTGTTTTAAAGGCTATTAAAATACAGGTGTATATGAAGAAATATAAGCTCCATAATACAACAATGTATTGGAAGTGCTAAAAACGCTTGCACAAAGAATTTACCTTCAAAAACAAGCAGAAACAATCCTGTGACCCAGTCAAGACATACATCTGAAACTGAAGACTCCAGGGGACTGATGCAAAGACGTTTCATGTGGTACCTTGTTAATCCTGAATCCCCGGGAACACAGATTATTTGAGTCTGTGAAACTGAGGTTTTAGGTTTACAAGGACGGGGCTTTAATGCCTAAAGGGTCAATTCACCATAATCACAATATTACTGTATTTGATCGCTTTCTGTTCGTGGTATCAGCCATTTTGAAATGTTGCCTGGAAAATGGAGCATCTCCATAAACACCAATCATCTCTCTCTCTTTAATAAGATAATACACTTGCTGGCACAACCATAGCGTGTGTCTGATTGTGTATACACAATAATAGGCAAAAGAGCAACAAAATGTTGTTGATTTAGGTATTACCTTTCTCCCTGCGTGTGTATTTATGTTCCAAAGCATTATCTGTGTATATCTATGCACTAGTTAGTTTAATAATGCATGTTTGTGTATGTGTACATTGCCATGTATTCATTCTGTTTGCATACATGCTTTTGTGTGTGTGTTTAATTGTTTGCTTTGAGTAGCCGCCTGCAGTGGAAAGTAGAGATAAAGAGTGAAAAGAAGAGGACAGACAGTGAATGTGCGTGCGCTCGTGCGTGTGTGTGTGAGGTCAGTGTATTTTGGCACGGCAGAGCTTGTTTGTGGCCATCAGAAAGCCATTTTAATTAATGAGAGAGGAACACACACACACACACATTTTTGCAGTGCTCACCAATAATACTGTTGCCAAAAATTTCTGCTCTCTAATGGCTTCCGATTCAACTAATCTTTCTTTCTCTCTGAAAAAGAAGTAATGGGTGGAGTGGGAGACAGAAGGTGAGGAGAACAGAGGGGAAGATACAATTTGGGGGGAGCCAGAGGACGAAAAGGAGCACGGGAAGACAGAAGGAGTGACATTTCACACTCAACTGGAGAGTGGTATAAGAATACAACAAGAAAGAAATTAAAAGAGAAAAGGTGTGAGGAGAAGAACAGAAAATCACTAAAAAAAAGGAAAAGTGGTAGAAGACAAAACAGAAACGGAAAGAAAAACAAAAGACAAGACAACAAAACAGGGAGAACGAAAGATCTCAACACATAAAGGGAGACACACACACACACACACACGCACACACACATAGAGAGGGAGTGTTCCCTCCTGCTTTCAGCAGGTTGTTAGGCCAGCAGAGTGTGTGTCTGCTGAATAATAGATGGTGTAGCAGGGTAGCATGTAGTCTGACCAGTGTGAACACACACACACACACACACACACAGCATCTGTGTGCTGCATAAGGTTACTATAAATTGCTACAAAATCCAAAATGTTGGTCATACCGTACTTATAATGATTTGAGAATTTTTTTTAAATGAAATATAAATGAGTCTGCCCACTAGATGTCAGCATGTTTTCTTATCGCACTAGATGTGTATTATCTGCCTAATTACAATTAAAAAGAAGACTGGCTAAAATGTGGTTAATTAACCAAATATGTATTCCAACTTTAAGTTTTAGAGTTCTGAACCCTTTCTACAATTAGAGCTACTTAAAAAGAAATCTGTCGAGAGCTAAAGACCTAGCTGATCACATTGAATATTTAGTGTGTGTAATATTTAGTCCTCTCTTCTCTTGTATCGTCAACACATACGTTTTGTTAAGCTGAAAAGATGCATGAGGAAGCATCTCTTCACTGTTAAAAGAAAAAACAGAGGCTTGATCTTTACAGTGTACTGTATGGAGGAGTGGTGAACTCCACCGGGAAAAATGTCTGATGTTAATACTACATTACCACGGCAGAGTGGAGAAAGAAATTGGCTAAGTAGATCAGCTACTCCACATCTGTTGATGTCAGGATTGATAAGTCTACAACCTAGCTGGAATCCCAGCTGTTTTGTGGGCAAGTCAGTGTTAAGTCTTGAGTACAAGCTTAAGCAAAGATTCAGACCGAAAACAGCCCTGCACTAAAACAGTGGAGGGGGCTGCGTTGGTGGGAACGTTAGATGCACCCTGCTGGATGACATTGCATTGCAGCAAAAGGTGAGACTGCTTCAACTTTTTTGCCACTCGACCTGTTGTTGTTTTGCCAGAACCCCCTCATTTGGCACCCCTGCTGCATCAACAGATTGGCTCCATTCAAAGTAGTCTGTTTCACACAGGGCTACTGTCACTCTAAACGTGTCAAGAAGAGGACACAATCTTCATGAGCAAAATGAAAGACAAGATGTAGGTCTTTCATGATGCTGACATGGCACTACATGGCATTCATATAAGCCTTGCGTGCAGTGTCATGTCAGAAATCCTGACGTCAACTTGTCTTGAAGCCAGGTTGGTTTAACTGTTTGGAATCCCCCCGTGTGTAACTGTAATTTTAGTCAAGCTTCACGAAAATTATAGTTTCAAATAGCTACATAACAGTTTTTAACAATAATATTAGGAAACTAAAATTGCCAATCTAACCCAGAATGCCGTTTTGCCCTCAGGAACATTATACCCTGTGTGTGTCTCACAAGTAGGTAGGTGCGTCTGACAGCCAGCGTGTGCTGTGTAGTTCAGCATCGTCTTGCTAGTGTGTACTACTCAGACCGACCTGTCTGATCCTCTCACATCAACCAGCAGCCTCTTATCCCTCACACACACACACACACACAGAGGCCGTCCTCCGGCCGTAGTGTCAATGTCAGCGTTGCATCTGGTAAACACGACAATAGACACGTACTCCCACCACACACACACACACACACACACAGACAAACACATACAGGCTAACAGGATAATGACTGGCCAATTAGACACAGGCTTGATCTGTCTGGATGTATCCAGTCATCTTAGCCCCTCCGGCAGCCATTACTCAGGCATGGACACACACACACACCACAACACATACAAATACACTTGACTGGTTGGAGCGCTGTGAAAAGCTGGCTGCTCCACCAGGCGACCTCTGTGAGTCAGCCTGTGTGTGTGTAGAGGGAATTTGTTTTTTCACATAGCGCTTTGATAAACTGACCATTTTCAGTTTAAATTTAATAATGTCAATCATTGCTGCATTTCTGTTGCATCTGATTTTCAGGTTGCAGGAGCGCAGAAGCCTCAAATACCTAATGTGCTCATATAGTTAACCAAACCTCCCTCAAGCTTTTCTGGTTGTCTGTGTTATTGATAGCCACATACAGCAGTGAGATGCACGTAAAGGGACAACATGTTTTACACACAGTGTAAAATCAAAGTCAACTACTGTGACATTCAAGCAGAGTTAAGTGTATTTACAAATTAAAACAAACAGATGAGTCACAATGTTCTTTGCAGGAAAACCAGAGATGCAAAAACAAATAATCAAAAGCAATAACACCAAAAAATAGTCTTAGCACATTGTATTTTCCATCCTTTATGTGTCTGTCAAAATGAATTTGTAATTGAACATGATCATTGTGTTTTGAACTTTAACATAAGAGAATCAAATGGACTTTTGGGTTCTAAGAGAATGCCGGACAAATTATTTTATGCAATTTTGAAAATGTCATAACTCGTGGATCAATCATTTTAATGCAATTTCACCTTTATTGGGCAGTTTGACATTAGAGACCATAAGAAATATATGGAGAGAGAGGGTGGGGTGGGGGGGGGATGTCACTAAGGTCCCCATCCAGACTGACAGCTGGCCATTGGGACACAAGTCACGGTGAAATTTTAAACAAAAGTTGATCAGCAGTGGCTTGATCTCTGCAGTGTGAATGATTACAATATATATGTATATGAGTTGTGTATTTGTGTGATACTTGTTGGTGATGTTGGCCTTAACTCCAGCTGCACTCCGTTTGAATGGATGATCCTCACCACCATCATTGCAAACTGCATCGTCCTGGCTTTGGAACAGCATCTTCCTGATGGAGACAAGACACCTCTGTCTGAACGACTGGTAACAAAAACACACACACACAAATCAGTATATACAAACATGTACATAAAGGCAGTATGTCTACGAACAGAAATAATACACAAAGGCTCAAACACACAGAGACACATGGTTTACAGTAAATACACAGATGAATACGTAGACATGCATCCACAGAGCACACACAGGCACAAAATACACAATCACACAGACGAATGACAGTACATGCTCACAGTGGTTGAAATCTTTTCTTACAAAAACTGCCACAATCTGCCTGTTGCTGACCCTCTTCGCATTCCACTTTCCTCACCTGATCTACCCTGTATTCTTTTGTTCAACCCTGTTTTCTCTCTTTCCATCCTCTTTTTTACCCCTTTGCTCCTCACCTCCCCTGCTTTCCTCCCCTGCAGGAGGAGACGGAGCCCTACTTCATAGCCATCTTCTGTTTTGAGTCTGGGATAAAGATCCTGGCTCTGGGTTTTGCATTACATAAGGGCTCCTACCTGAGGAACGGCTGGAACGTTATGGACTTCGTGGTCGTGCTCACTGGGTGAGTTCACAATAATACCCCTATTAAAATTTTATACTTTTTCTACTTCTGTTGTTTATTTCTTCTTCTTTTATTTTAAATATACTATTTTTCTTTACTCTCTCCTGCTCACTGTTTATTTGTATGTTATTCATGTTATTCAAATTAGTTTAGTGTTTTTACTTATTTCTGTCCACATGGTGCCTAATGTGTACCTCTGGATACTGAAATGTGTAGGATTTGTTTCCATGGCTACCTGCTCCACTTCAGCGCTGGGTTAGTTGGGCCAATCAGGTCGAGGCTTTAAAAAAAAAATAGAACATCACACAGCTATATACAACCAGAAATGAGCTTTTCTTCTGCTATAGTGCTATTTTTCATGACACAGCAAAGGGTTCAAACATGTTTTATTACATCCTTAAATCTGATGGAGGGCAATTTACAGTTTGCACAAACATTTCTGCATTCAGGTTTCTGCCAAAAGCAGACTGTGATCAGATGATTTAAGTGCATTTAAGCCCACTGAGTAAAAGGATCGCTGTTAATATAGGTAAGCAAAAACTTCTGTGTGTGAGGGTGTGTTAAATATGGCTGCCTGAGCTAGAGATGGGGGATGGGTGGAGATGGTAATAAGATATAGTGTTTGTCAAGGGGGGAAAAGACTGAAATACAGGCACACACAGTTATTTCAGTGAATCCAGTTCCTTTCAAAAAGTGTGTTTTATTAGCGTTGATGCTGATATCAATGTTACAAACGCATAAACGTAACCAATCGCCATTTTTACATTTAATCCTTACGCTGAATCTGTATGTGTGAGCATCTTATAGTAGCATGACTTCCTCTTTTTTCTGATTCAAACACACTCACACAGACACAGCAGAGGTCTAGTTTGACAAGGTGTGCGTGTGTGATCAGGGCCACTCCCCCTCAGTCGCAGGCCTCCTTTAATGAGGACACACACACAGGCAGGCTGGATCAGAGCAGCACTGCAGGGAGCAGCAACCAGGGCAAAGTGAAATGTCACTTCTCCAGGAGATGGGGGAGCAGGTTTGTTGTTATGGCAATAGCCGAGAGTGGTAGCAGAATTTTCTCCTTCTATCTCTCTCTCTCTCTCTTTTCATTCTTTCTCTGTTCAATTTTAATGTACATTATTAGAAGTGCACTTACTGTCAAAGCTAAAACAAGAAATACCTTATATCAGATTACAACAGCAGCTGTTATATTAATGATAAACACAATTTCAGCACTGATCAAGAAATACACTGATAAAACACCAGCACCTACTGTCGTACCCTGCCGGTCCCTTTGTCTCGTCACTCATCTTCACAGGGTGTTACCTGCTACCACGGAGTTGACGCACGCATAAAATGTTGCTAGACCTCGCTAAGGTGTGTTCACATGTAGCGATGTTTTTAACACCTTTCTTATCCCATAGTTTCTCATGGGGAATGCACATGTGGTGCTCATAATGGCAGCTCTGAGGGCAGGGACCTCTGGGATGTTGAGCTTGAAGTATCATTCCTGAACTTGGAAAGATAAGACAAAAAAAATCTCAACACAAAAAGGGCCCCTCAACTATTCAGAACTAGTTTTGTGAGTGAAAACAAGAAGCTTCATGTCATGCCCAGTCAGATCAAGTATAAAAGAGACTTTAAAATAGTAGTGTGGACCTGGACATTACACCAGTCATACTCACCAATCTGCAATATCATTTTTATTTACTATTTATTTTCAGTTGCTTCTACTTTGCCTTAATTTTAAGTAGCTGGACCATCAAAAACAAAAGCACATGCTGCAGTTCTCACAGCATCATAGGTGCAGTATAAAAAAAGAAATAAAGGTAATAAGAATAAAAAATTATTAGAATCATCTGCTATGGCCTTCATAGTCACCTGGTCAGACAGTGCTCTCCACCACCATCATTAAAACACCAAATGAGAGACTCATATCTCATTTGTTCATCCCTCCAGTAGAGTTCCACAGACTTGTAGAAACTATGCCAAGCACTGTTGCTCACTGATTTAATGAGTCACCCATAGATAGATGGATGGATGGTATATACAGATAAATAGACAGAGAGACTGAGGGAGCCCTTGAGAGATGAAACCACCCCTTGCCAGAGAAGCAGTAGAGTAGAGCTGTACTACTGCAGCTAGATAACCGAGGGAGGAAAAAGGAGGAGGAGGTGGCAGAACAAGAGGACATGTGACGATGTCTCTTTGTTCCCCTGGGCTCTGGAGAACAGGACAGAGAGAGAGAGAGGGGAGGGGGGGATACAAGATGGGTTTGGCTGTTAAAGAAGGTGTGAGAGGGATGCAGAGAAGAGAGGAGGAAGACCACAGGAAGGAGGGAAGAGTGATGGGTGCAGGGACAGCGGAGGTGAGAGTGATGTATGGAGGGAGAGAGATTTGGAAGAAGGATAGGAGGAGGAGGGAAGGCAAAGATGGAAGAAGGGGGGAAGGGAGAGAGAGGGAAATGAGAAAGAGCAAACGCTGAAAGGAGCATGCTCAGAGAAGGAGTGAGTGTGTGCGTTTGTGTGTGAACGCTGCAGTAACCTCCTTTTCCCTGCTCCCAATGATCAATCACTCAGCACAGCCTATATAACACACACTGCTGTTACCTTGTGGTGCATAGACACTCGTACACATATGCACACACACATAATGTATTTCTGTAGATACTGTGTGTGTGTGTGTGTTTGTATACACACAATTACTGTGCTTGGCCTATATTGCCAATTGTAGTCATATTTGTATTTGTACAAGTGTTAGTGTATATTCATGTAGAACATTTGAAATTGAATGCAAGGTCTTGGTATGAACACATGCTGCAAGAAGCGAGCATATGTTCACCATGTTTTCCTCCTGTGTGTGTGTGTGTGAGTGTGTTCTTGGAGTACCAATTGAAGACCTCGAGAGGGAAGACATATTTGGAAACTTCTCTGAAGGGTCATTTGAGGGGTTCAAATCTCTCTCACAATATAGTAAAAACTCACTGCTTTATTAGATTTCCCAACTGCCTTGTTTGGAAGTTCCTAAATTCAAAAAGTCAAACCGTCAGTGACGCTCATTGGCTAAAGAATGAATTATGCCTGTAAGGGTCCTCACTTGTATGGTAGTGCAAACATGTGTGCCGTTCTTTGAAGTTAACGTGCCTCCTCCTCCGCAAGCTGTAGCTTTCATTTACCGTCGTTCTTTTGGTGACCTCAGTGTTACTGCGTTTACACTTTGCATATAAGATGCCTCCAAATCAAAGTAGATTCCCATTACATTTGCTAAGCACATTCATGATCCCAATGTGAGACTCACTTTTAAAGAACCTGTGACCTTTCCTGTAGTGCTACCTTATAGACAAACTGTATTTGTAGCCCCACTACTGCTAAGAATAGCTAAATATAATTGTTTGGTCCAACACTTTCATAATGTGGCAGGTAAAAAACATTGCGGCTTTGTTCGATTTTACGTGTTAATAGTGTCAGACTCTCTCTTTCTCACTTTCTCCTCTTTTGGTTTCTGAAGGAATTTGTGCTGTGCAAGTCGTGACTGAGGAGGCTTCTGGCACTGTGCTGTGAAGTGTGCATGTATGTGTGCTGACTTCATTCTTGGCAAACACTGGAGAGAGATACTTGATGAGGACAGGAATTAATGAGAGAGGGGGAAAAGGAGGACAGGGGACACACACACACAGAGTGACTAGTGTATTTAGTATTCAGGGATGACGGTCCATTGATTTTCAGTGCCATGCTGTGACGTCACACAGTAATCTAATCATTTACGATAGACTCTGGGCCAGTCAGTCAATGAGAGGACACCACAGACGTGCCTATGACTCTTCTAATGGATGTTCACAGATACAATGATCAAAAATAGAACTCTCAGTTTACACGTTTGGTATATATTTTTAAGCAGTATGCCGTATACTTGCATGTATATTTTCCTGGATGGACTATTATGGAGAGGCCTAACAAAAATAGAATATTGAAGCAAAAAACGTGATCCGGTAATTCATATGGGAAAGTCTGATTAAATAAATACCCATACCTTTGTCTTTATAAAAAACTCTTTTTTGCTTAGCTTAGTAACTCAAATGTTGTGATAATGCTAGTAAACCATTATCACAACATAGCATGTGCAATGTAAATATAATATCTAAAATATGATTGGAATCATAATAAGAATGTAAGGGATCTACTGTGCAAGTAAAAATTAACAGACAGACGATGTCTATGATGTCACAGATTAAACTTAAACATCAAGTTATTTGCCTATGATACTACATAATCTCAGACGATGGATGTCTGGCCTAGGACGCCAAGATGGAATAGGTCAAAGTGGTCATTGCCTGCTAAACCTCTATCAGTTTATGTACATGCATACGACACTCCTAAAGGGAGTGTTTTGCCCCATCTCAGGGGGAAAAACATAGCATACTGAGTCACTACACTAGAGTATCTGGCAAAGATACCAAATGACATCAGAGCTCAACACAGAGGGAAACAGGAACCTCTGACTCAATGCTGGGACGACTCACAGCTGAGTTTTGCATCAGAAACAGGACAGATCAGATGAAACACATCTTCTTAAAGATATTTATCAGGCTGTATGGACTCAGAGAAACATAGCTAACTTTGGTGTGAATCAGGTCACTCTCTAAAATATTACTTCAGATTGGTAATTGGTACACACAGGTGTTACAGTAAGTACAGTACTTCCTCTTAGAAAATGAAATATCGACATTAAGTGAGGAAATGAAGTGCAGCAGGGAAAGAGAAATGAGGTCACAGAGGGAGAGTACCTGGCTGAAAATTGTCCCTTTGCCATCACTTCCATTATCATTATTGCTCTGCAGTCATTTACAGGCTCATCTCTCTCTCTATATATGTTACCTCCAACTCTACGCCCTGAAGGCCATCTGCTGCATATGAACACACACACGCACACTAGGTTGCACAAACATTATAATGGCTGCGTGTCTGAGAATAGTCAATGAGCTGTTCCAAGAAGATGGAGTTGAAAACCTT